ATAAACTCTCATGAGAATAAAAGAGATATGGATAAGTGAGACTGATTGAATTGCATGTGTCTTATAATTATGAAGCGTGTCATTTCAGAAGCCTTCAAGGACACTTTGTTTAAAGTGGTCACTACAACATGAGTTTTTCTTGACAAACTTGAGAAAAAGTTTACTATGAATGATAAGGTCGAAGCAAGTATGATCTTAGCAAAACTTATCTCTATGAAGAATAAAGACAAAAAATATAAGGGAGTATATTCTTGAGATGTTTCATCTTGTATCAAAATTAAAGACATTAAAGTTAAAGCTATCGGAAGATTTACTCGTACACTTTGCTTTGATTTCTCTTCTTACACAATTCAATCAATTTAAGGTGAGCTATAATTGTCAAAGGGACAAATGGTCCCTAAATGAACTCATATCATATTTTGTACTAGAAGAAGAAAGGTTGAAGTAAGATATGTATGAGAGTGTTCATTTGGTCATACTCTAAAAATAAAATCAAGAAAAGACTTTACGAAGTTACCTCTATCGTCATAAATCAATTGATGATGAAAGATACATCTATTCAAGTGATACAATGTAGTAGCAGTGGAGACAATAAAAAATTTTAAGTTCTTGTTATAGATTGGTCACTATTTATTTTTAACTAAGACTTATCTTGGGTTATGTTGCTTTTGGAGCACTCCTATCTGGCAGGCTTCTAAATTGTCTCATGTATTGGCTAATATGTGCTCATTGTTATGGAAATTTCATCTGTCAGGTTACTTCAAGTGGGTGTGTCAAGGATTCTGAGGGCACTGACGAGCCATGAAGAAGGGGGAGTCAATGGGAATGGGGCCACCACAGCCCTGTTATCAAAGCCCGGCTTAGTATTGGGCCAATTTTTCATTTCGGACAAGATTTTGAGGAATTTTGCAGGAAAGTCCGGTCAGATGTTCATGTAATAATTCAGTCCTCTCTATCTCTCCTTCTCTGTCCACCTTCTGTGTTAACCGGTTCGGGGACGCGCTGCAGGCAGAACCATCGCCATTATTCAGGTCTGGCTTTGACCGAGTTCTGTTGCGTCGATACGAATAATGGCCCATTGTCGTGACATGCGATGACTAAAGAAAACGTGCAACCAAGAGATCTGACCCTATACACCAAATGCCGATCAAGTCACAGAGAGAAAGACGGGAAGAGACGGTGGGAGAGAGGGAGAGAGAGGGAGGGAGGAAGAGAGCTGGGGGGGGGGGAAGAGAGAGAGAGAATTAATCATATCATTAGGTCAAAGTATTAATCTAAACTCTATTTGATGTCTTGGATAAGGTCATAACAACTACGCAGCGCGGCTTTGTTTTCCTCCTCAACAGGAAATGTCGGAGCTTATTTTCCTCGCTATATAAATAATCCATACCTGTTCGGTCATGCTCGAGGAGATGGTCATGTAAGGGTACGTTGTTGAGACCAGCAAGTCGTACATCTTGGCACCAATCCAGCTCATGGACAAGGCTGCTTAGTGAGATGATGGTGATGATGATGATGAAGAAGATGGTGAGAGAGAGAGAAAGACAGACAGACAGACAGAAAGAGAGAGAGAAAGAGAGAGAGAAAGAGAGAGAGAAAGAGAGAGAGAGAACTCTGTTTCTGTATCTGCCACTGTCTCTACATCTTGGGTTACGTTGCTCTTGGAGCACTCCTATCTGGCGGCCTTCAGAATTGCCTCATGTCTTGGCCATTATGTTATGTGCTCATTGTTATGGAGATTTCAGGTGGGTGTGTCGGGGATTCTGAGGGTACCCAAGTGCCATGAACAAGGGTGTGTCAATGGGACCGCGCCACTGCTGACCCATTATCAAACCCGGGTTAGGAATTTTGTATGTGTCATGATAATCATCTCACATGGTAGCCCCTTTTTTCATTTCGGACAAGATTTTGAGGTCTTGCCCAGGAAGGTCCGGTCTGATGGTAATGTAATAATTCACTCCTCTCTATCCTCCTCTCTCCGCCTTCTGTGTTAACCGGTTCGGAGACGCGCTGCAGGCAGAACCATCGCCATTATTCAGGTCTGGCTTTGACCGAGTTCCGTTGTGTCGCTACGATTAATGGCCCCTGGGCGTGACATGGGATGAGTAAAGGAAACGAGCAACCAAGAGATCCAACCGTATGCACCAAATGGCGATCACGTCACAGAGAGAAAGAGAGGGAGAGAGCTAGAGGGAGAGCTAGAGCGAGAGAGCGAGATAGATAGATAGAGAGAGAGAGAGAGAATCATATTATTTCGTCAAAGTATTAACCTCAACTCTATTTAATGTCTTGGAGAAGAATGTGACGACTTTGCAGATGAACGAGCCGAGACTTGGTGAAGCCTAGCGACCGCAAGATTCAAGTATATTTTCATTCAATATATCTTCTTGCTATGGTCGCATGAGAGATCATAGGATATCTACCTTGCAAATTCGCTTGATCATAACCAGTGATAAAATATTATCTTAGTTGTTAAATTTAGGGTACCCTACTCAATAATTTCTCTAAACTAAATGGTCGATTTGCTTCACAATTGAAGAAGATTACTGATAATCACTAGATCCCTTATTATTCCCTTTAAAATATTTAGTAATTTTCGCTATAGTTTATTTGCTTCAATTATTATTTTCTTCTTCATTCATCTAGCCCACATCATGTAGGTGTCACGCACCAATGCCCGTGATGGTGAGTCGCCATTTTAACTCTTGAACTTATCTAGGTTTGTCGGTTGAAGTGATGATGACCGCTAAATATCCAGTGAAACACTCTCCAAGGCCATCCGTAAAAGGCCCTAACAAGTACACACAGATCAACAAGGGCTCATGCTGTTTAAATCAATCCCACATGTTTTGGGTCAATTCTCAAGTCATTAGGTTTAGGTGTCATTCTCACTGACAGCATCACCTCTATCAAAGTGCCTTTTCCAATGTGACACCTAGGCGATGTTGAAGATTAAAGATTTCTACAAAGTGAAGAAGAATTGGCAAGGGGACCCGTGCGTTCCCCAAAATCTGACGTGGAAAGCGGTGAGCTGCTGCCATAATGTCTCGGAGAAGCCTCGGATTTCGTGTCTCTGTGAGTTATTTCTCTTAGAAGATATCACCGGGCGCAGCACCTATTCTACGGTAACTCTATTCTTTAGCACAATCTCAGACATTGAAAAAGTGTTGAAATGCCTTGTAGGAATTTATCCCACAGTGGATTGGCAGGCGGAATTTCTCCATTTATTGTCGATCTCATGGCTCTAAAGGCATAGTGAGTGTTCTTGAGCTTTTCCCCATTTCGAGGTGCATCAGATGTTGTGATCTTATAATATTGAAATCGATAATGCACATGGCATTCCATTAAGGGAATTGAAGAACATGATGTCATAAAGCTCTCAATGAGCTGGTGTAGCTCGACATGAAGGGTTTGGTTTTTCGGATTCAATGAAATCAGGACCGGATCATCGTGTCACTGCCGTCATTCTCATTCCTAATGACCACCACCACCACCTCGTAGGATTTGGGCAACAGTACATCTAGCACATTGTTTACCTAGACATTGACTATGCCCCGTCTATGGACACCCCTAGATACTAATCCTACAAATTAATTCAAAGTTGACTTCTGTATTAACCTCTTTTTTACCCCAGGGACTTATTACATAACGATTTGAGTGGAGTACTTCCAGATGATCTAAGAAAGTTGCTGAATCTTCAGGTCTTGTAAGTTTTTGGAACCATTGCCTTGATGAGTTCAGAAATATGTTCCCACAAAAGTTAAAGATCATTTGTTCCATTTTGCAGAAATCTGATGAACAGCTAGTTGACTGGAAAGATACCTGAAGTTCTTTACAACAAATCACAAAACGGGACGCTGTCATTAAGGTAAACCCTTTATCCACATAAATCGTGGTCAATGCTTTCGCAAAAGATTAGAACATAATAAAATCTCTCAAAGAATTTAAGTCATTGCCACATGACCAAGAACTTATATGAAAATTTGAATATTTCGTAACTTATCTATTTCTCCTTCATTGATCTTCAAGTTAGATGCTTTCTGAAAGATGGGCAACTATAAGTCAAAAATTATATGTAAAATGTAACAATTTTTTGATGAAATCTATCAATTCAATTGATGTTGGAAGTTAAAGAGATCTTATGCCACATAAGCAGAACAAAGAAAGCCCATATATGTCGTGGTTTTATTTAGATATTAAAGAGTTGGAATAAAAGAGAGAGAGACTCAAGGAGACCCTGAATGGGAATCTACTACTACATTAAGCGTGGCATCTTTACCATTTACATGTTATCATGAGACTTAACCTCTTTTCAAAAGCCATTGTACTTGAAAAATAATTATAATGCGATAATAAAAAACCATGTTGACAAATCTTCTGATTTTCTTATTTTCTTTATGGTACAATAATTTAACAGGAAGACAACTATTGATCAAGTAATAAAATGACTTTTTGCTATATGATATAAGCGATCCATATGATGAGATTCAAATAGTAAAAATTCATTCATATGGTGATGCTTATTACCCCATGGGTTTTCAAGATTAAGATTTTACTTCAATTCAAGCACTTATGCTTCATGTTTTTTTCCTAAACAAATGCAGAACTGATGGCAACATAAAACTTTGCAACAAAGTGGGTTCATGTGGAGTAATAAATGGAAAAAGGAAGAACATCCTTTGCAGTATAGTATAAGTATCAATATCTACCATGGTTTTATTCTGAATATTTATCATGGTATGGAGATTTAGAGGAAGAAAGTGAGGTACTATACGAAGTGAACTACAGGGTATGACCATATTCCTATGCTGATTTGAATAATGGAATAGCCATGCAGGATCTCTTGATATCGTTTTGACATAATATTTCCTTAAAACCAAAGAGACGTATTCATAATTCAAGAGATAAGAGAGCTCTTCAAGTGAAAAGCCAACAACAAGATTTGAATTTGGAGAGCGATCAATTCTCGTTCTCAGAAATCATAAAGATTACCAGACACTTTAAGTGTATAATAGGCAGAGGAGATTCTGGAATTGTCTACTATGGGTTATTAAATGACGGAAGAGAAATTCCAGTGAAGTTGCTTTAAAATGTTCCCAACGAGCGAAAGAGTTACATGCAGAAGTCATAATTATGAAGATGATAAAATGACTGCAATATTAACATTTTTTCCCTCCTTTCCTAGGTTAAATCTTCTTAGCATGCATTTCAATCATAAAAATTGATATGTTTTAAAAATCTAGTGTATTTGCTAGGTTATTGTGACGACAAAAATTATCTAGCACTCATTTATGGGTACATGCCAAAAGTCTCTCTTTCAGATCACTTATCAGGTTTTTATAAAGAATTTTATGCTGTAGATTTTTGTTGATGTATATGTACTTTTGGAAAAAAATTATCATGGAAGAGGAATCTCTCACTCTGGCTCGCCAGCTTTGTATGTTGAATACACGTTTGGATGAAACACAGGTGGCACACACGACACCATTGGACTAAATTGGGACATGTGACTGAAAATAGCACTAGACTTTGCTCAGGGTGTCCATATTTCGAAATACTTTGCATATATTCGTACCTATTTCTTTTTTATTGAGACACTACTGATAAAATCTTTACCCGCAGGACTTGACTATTTGCACAGCTTCTGCAAGCCATCCATTGTTCATAGAGATTTTAAGACGAGAAACATTCTATTAAGTGCAAAGCTTGAAGCCAAATTAGGAGATTTTGGGTTTTCTAAGTTATTTGGTCATGAAGATGCCACTCATGTATCAACTGCAGTTGCTGGCACTCGTATATCAACGTATGTAAACTTTAGTAATGAATGTTAAAATGACATACCTGAAGAAGTAAATGGAAGTTTGAAATCTTCTCTTACAGGTACTATCAAATAACTTGCCAGCCTGCAATCAGCCATGACAGTGCTCCAATAGTGCCATGGGTAGGGTCTAGACTGGAAAGAGGAGATATATCCAGCATAGCGGACCAAGTGGCCAGGTGAGTCCATTCAGGAATAATAAATAGGCTGGCTCTTCGCATTTTGTATCCTTTTTTCCCCGCCAACAGCTTGACGACCGGGAGAAGCAAAACCAAATCCGGATTTGGCCGAAAAATATGCAACGCTATGGATACCATGACCGATCACCATCGATAAAGAAGAACTTTCTAAATCACTTCACGTGATTACGATTTGAATTCTATATGGAAAGCAGTAGAAGTTGCCATGGTGTGTGCGTCACCTACATCGAGCCGTCGACCAAAGATGAGTGAAGTGGTCGTACAGTTGAAAGAGTGCTTGGAATCTGTGGCTTCACGTGACATACCCGGGAGTTTTAGCGTACAGAGGTCAAATTCAAGGTATATAGGCCCTATTGTTTTTGATCCAAGGACAACCCCATCAGCAAGGTAGTATGTTAGATGTCGCCAAATGAAGTATTAAATGCTTTCTTATCTGGAGAATAATGTTGAACGTATGTTTCTTTAAGCGTGGTGTCTTTTGGAAATAAGTGAGTCTTATGCACCCAGCTACAGTCTTGTAATGTTGTCTTTTGGTGTTGGCCTTTAACTTTGTAGTCTAAACATTAGAAAAAACCAGAAGTTACTGTTGGGTGTTTTTGTGAATTTGACACAAGGGAAAGTGGAAGGGTCACAAGAATAATGTCCTCCTATTGGATGTATCTTATATGTTCCTTTATTCTATTTTATCTTAAGTGCGTACATTTTTAAAGATATTCGGATAATGAATGTCAGGATAACTGGAATGATGTATGGTGGAAAACCTAACCGGACTGGAAACAGTCATGTCATAGGGGTTGTTATGTATGATGATTTCTCCCCGTCATCGTGGGATGGTTGGAACGTTGACATTTCGTTCAATGGTTCCTTTGCGGGAGGAGACGTTACAATTCTGGTCATCCACCACTATTTTACAACTATTTTACCCAGAAACCCTTTGTCATGGGGTCAAGGTTGACCTACCTCTATTCTCTGCCCTAAGCGGCCTTGGTCGCCACACCAGCACCAAGCAGCCTCATCACACCCCACGGAATGGTTTTCTTCGTCTAATGATAACGTAGAGTACATGAGGAGGCAGGAGGAAGACCTGCTATTTGTCGCGAACAGTCGCCAGATCCACCTGCCATTGGCTAATCCGCTCCACGAGCCCGGATCCAAAGAGCTTTGTGGCGTGACACCCTTATTTAGAGTCCTAGTTTAACAATTTCAATTGCATCCGAGATCAACCTACAAAATGCAGAGAGCTCGTCGTGATGTCATACATGGTGATGCTAGGACTACTCGGACAATATCTTTGCACCTTTCTCTAAGTTTCTCATACAGCTTGCTTATGATCTGCTCGGACAATATCTTCTCATACATGGTGATTGCACATTCATGATGATTACGAAGGTATGTTAACTGTTCTCCATTAGTGAATAATTATATAAATTAAGTATTTTTCTAACTTTTGGGGCACGTGATCGGACCGACAAGGAGAAGGGAGATCATGGGAAGAAAGTTGCAGCCGAAGAACATAAGGACTACGTCTGTGCCAAGACCAGTTCTAGACTTCTCTGGCCTAAGTCTCAAGTCCATACTACGGAACCCCGTCGGGACAGGGTCACACTTGCCGGCCCCTAGACATACCGACGTACAGAACTATCGAAGGTGCCGCAGCTCGCTGGTCGCCGCAGGTGGCGCCGCCGACGGATAGAGAGGCGTTGCCCTAGCGACAAGAGAGAGGGAAAGGGGGAAAATGAAATAGATTATTCAAATGTGAAACGGATACAAGTATTTACAGATGTTTGGACGAAGTAGATCGATGCGGTAAATCGGGCTTCACTGACGCCGCACCGGATCCAGTACGCCGGGAAGAGAGAAGGATGAAAAATACAATCCGAGGAACGAATATATACAATTAACACAAAAGAAGTGCGCCAACGATCTCCCATATTTCGGAGACAATTTTATTTGAATGCAGTATTTATAAAGGCCGTCCACCGCAATCTCCTATGATCGACAGGATTGGCTGCGGTGAGCATTGACGGTAGCGGCCGAGTGGTGGTCAACGGTTGGGAGCCACCAGTCACCTGAGTATTGCTGCAGCCACCATGGCCAGAAAAGATCGAGAAAGTTCACTGATGGACGCCGAGGAGCGGTGAGGGAGGCTCAAGGAGGAGTCGGACTCAAGCCAGATGCAGATTGGATGGGGATCCGAAGTAAAGCGCGAGCCGTCAAGACTAACGATTGGTGTTCGGACACTTGCTAAAAAGGAAACCGTAGTAAATGGAGATCAATGGACTGTAGGATTGTGCCTTCAGCAGGGTAACGTCCGCCAGTTATCGGCGGGCCCTGAAAGCGTTAAATGTGAGATCTCAGCAGCTGCCATATAGGCTCCCCGTTGTTGCGAAGGAAACCAGCGATGGCGGCTCCTGGTGCAGTGCTTTCTGGCGCTGGCATCCGCGCGGCAGGGCCAGTCCTCGCCAGGCATGTAGATTCTTGGCCCTTAACCTTTTCAGTTGTTCTCTTCTTCTCTTTTTGTTTAGTGATCGGGAAAACGGGGATCTTGCTCCAGCTTTAAAACTCTTAAGATTAGAAGAAAGGAAATAGTTCATGATGAAACAAAAACATAAAGCCACGCTCTGGTGTGAGACATTAATGTAAAACAATTAATGTTAGAGAATCTTGTGCGTCGCTCTCGCACTCTTTTCATTCTTGCACAACCAAGCGCAGGATTGTTCTCGACTGAAGTTAGGCTACTTCACATGTAAAATGGCCATTTGGTCCGGCTTTTGGAGCGCACATTTGAAATTCAGATCTCGGATCGGACGTAACGTCAATTTGGAGCGCACATTTTTTTATTGGACTCCATCCAATATGAACGCAACCCTGTCTTTGTTCCAGTTATTGTTGTATTAGATTCGATTTTTAGTTTTTAAATACCCCACGGACATCCTAACTCTTATTTTACACGTTTGAACATATAATGACATGATGAAGAGTAAAGAATTAATCTAGTGGAAGATAATTTGATGACGAAATGGCCTTTTATAATTCAGTCTTTAGAATAGATGTAATGGATTATTTTCTCTCATGATCCAAGGCAGACTATCTGACTAGTATTTTGTAATCTGACTTCATCAGACAAATGACTTACTCAAGAAACCTGTCTCATAAAATCATAGGCTAATCGGTCAAAGGTGGTTGTCTATGTGATTTTAAATAAAGTATTCATTGCTTCTCACAAGGAACTCACATTAATAGTAGTTCTCTTCGTAGAACTGAAACTTCAAACTTCGTCAAATAATGCTGGTGACAGAACCATTGCCATTATTTAGGTCTGACTGTGATCAAGTTCTGTACTGTCGATATGAAATAATGAACCATTAGTGAGGTGAGATGACTAAAGAGAATAAACAGCCAAGAGATCCCAGAGAGAGAGAGAGAGAGAGAGAGAGAGAGAGGAAGAGAGGGAGAGAGAGAGAGCGCTTGTCCTCATTTGACATGTTTTGACATCTAGTAGTAGTGATATTTCCACATGGGTCTAGTGTGGTTGAGCCATTGGAGTGCGTCTCGAGCCATGTGCATTGTTCATTGAGATGAATTATTCCTTTAGTTTTTGGACAAAAACTTTCCACGATTCAATGGTAAATATCCACAAATCCTTCATGCCATTAGTGAGATATATGCTTGCCAGCATGACCATCTCTGTATTCGATGTATGTATCACTCAAAAGTAATGGTCTAGGCCTCAAAAAACTTTTCCAACATCTTGACATTCTTGACAGCAAAAAAAACTTTGGGCTCAAGTACCTTACAAACATGACTTAATTATTGTATAATAAATCACACAAATTTAAAATTTATAAAACTAGAAAAACTAATTTTATTTTTTTTAGAAATATTTTAATATAAATTAATTAATTATAATTTGATAAAATGCTCCAAAAATAATAGAAAATTTCTAAGTCAATCACAAAGATATAAGATAATATTGAGGAAAGTTTCAAAATTGTCCTCACAAAGTACTAAGTTTTGTAATTTTTTGATTAACTAATACACAAAAAATTTGTTGAAAAATTAATGAAAATAAAAATTCCTAATCTAGGGACGTTAAGATCATAGTAATACACCAACGAATGTGATTTGAATGGAAATAGAGGGTTCACCCAATGATTTTTTTATTAATGATCATTGATGATTTAGTTGATCAACTTAAAATTTATAAACATGAGAAGAATCTTAATTGAGCAAATAATATTTTTGAAACTTAAAATCACATAAAATATCATTAATTTAAGTAAAATTTAAGTTTAAAATAAAAAAATTAGAGTCTAACATCACAGTGGTGATCACTATAATTTTGTATGTTATAAATAATTGTTGTGCAATGTCTATAGCCTCAAAGGCTCTCTTTGGACATAGATGACGTGAGTAATCTTTAAATCATTTTATGAAATTTCGAAATCAATAAATTACTTTTGGTAGCTATCAACTATTAGAGTAGAAATCAAGTGACTTTTTAATTTCCAATAGTTGTCACCTAGTAGAGACAAATTGAATAGGGGTGAGGTACATCTTAAGAAACTTCATCTTTAGGTCCACATAGAAAAAAGAGACTCTTCATCACATTTGGCTGAGAAGGTAGAGACTAGTCTCTTAATGGATTTTCCTCTTCTTGACGGTGACATGTTTGTCAAATAATTAGAGATAATTTCCTCAATTGATTCATAATCATTTTATCTAAAATTATTCGACAATTGATAATAATTTTTCGTTAGTCTCATTGATGATATTTTAATTAATGATTGAATGATTCTTGTGGCTTAATCATTGACTAATACTTTATAGTAAAATCATGATTTAATTAGATAAAAATATAAATTTTGATTTTAGTGGCATTTGAACTCTTGCTAGTCACTCAACCACTTGAGAGAGAGTTAACTAAGTATGTTCATACCCGTACCTAGTAGCATTATAGAGGCATTTCTTTCTCATAAGTTAGGGGTATTATAGGTATAAAAATCTGTCAAATAGTACTAGGGCGAGTTTAATCTCACATCAACTAGTTTTTGAGTTTTGAGATAAATATATAGTAATACATCTTCTTATCTTCAATGTAGTCCTCTCATGTGTGTATGACCACTCTTTACCTCATATTTAGTTGGCCACCAATGACATGGAAGGGGAGTAATGCACACATACCCCCAATTGGTCCTTAGCCACTCAAGCCCCTTACTCATGGCTTCATGCAATTATGCTTCTAACCCACTTGTAAGTTTGATTGGACAACTAGTCCCTTGATTGTACTTTCGACTAATTTGTAGGCCCGACTACCTAGTGAGTCCCCCTTTTTATTTCTTTTTTTTATTTCTCTTTATTTTATCTCAAAATATGATAATAAAAAATATATAAATTCATATAAAATCACATAATTAGCCAAAAATTCACATTAACTAACTAATGTTTTTTTAATTTAACATAAATATAAATCTATTTATCATGAGTCAAGCCAGAAATATTAAATTATGATAATGAAGACTTATCACTCACCCCAAGATGTCAAGTTGCTCTCATGTCTCTTTAGAAAAGCACACTTCAATCAACATACTTCAACTACAAAAACTTTTACATAAGCTTGAAGTTCCTTTACATCAATGGCATCAGCATAAGATTCTCTCAAAGGGCCTGAAATGTGCTTCTAAGACTTCAATAGAAGAGAGAATTAAGATGATTTCTTCCTCTAGTCGAGCAATCCTCTACTTGTTAGTGCCGCTATATCTTACAGTAGCATGCTCTAATACTATTTGACATAGGAGGGTCTAAGTTCTTTGAACTTTCCCCACTCAAGACTAATCTTGACCTTTGCTCAGTCAATGTTGAGCAGCCTTCAATGTCACTTGTAAAAACCACCAACATCCTACTACAATGAAGGGACACCAATGTACGTATATTACCTAAAGACGGATGTACAAAGGAGGGAGAAGAGCCCATCATGACCACTCTTCTTCACTTCCTAGCTCCCAGCTCTCACTCAACTCTCAATGCACTGCACTCCTATTGATGTCACACCACAGCCTCCTCAACTCCCTCCTAACTCCCTTACTCACTATGGAGCTTCCCCTCTCCTACAGACGAGACCCTCTCTCTCTGTCTCTCTGCAGCTTTCTCTCATTCCCCTTCTTCTTCTCTCCTTCCCTCCTTCCTCCTAGAGAGCAGAGTTCTCCCCCTTTTATATAGGGAGAGGTCTGAAGAACCTTCTCCATTTAAACCTTCCTTATGCAAACTCTGTCCTTTGTTGTCCCCGGATCCCTACTAGATCTGGAGGAACCATTCTGGATTCGGGAAACTCACTCCATCCCAGTTTTCTTGGTTTGGCCATGCATTCCCGCATGCAACACACACCCACTGCACATGTTAGATGCATCTGTACCTCCTTCCACATGCATTTCATGTGGTCTCTCAGCCTCATGCCGATCAAGAGGTTCTAGGAGTATCATAATCTCCCAATGGCATCTGTAGAGCCACAATGGCAACTTGTGGTTGGACCAATGGCCTAATAAAATGCTTGAAGCCTACCTAAATCCTCATGGCTGTATGCATCCATCTCCAAATCATGTATTCTCACTTTTAGGCATTAAATTTATGTCAAGAGAAACAAAATTGATGTATAACCTATCATTCTCTAAAACTCAACACAAATGACTCTAATACAACTTGATGTACATTAAGGATCTAGGATTGAATCATGAATGCTAATAATAAAAATGATCAAGAAATCATAGTTGAGTCTATCATGACTCAAGAGTGGGGTGTGTAGCCTTTTGGATCATTACAAGGGAGTCCTTTCTTAAAGAGAGATGGGGTGCTTCAAGAGTGACCCTTATAATGTGTCACCCAAGGACCACAACCCCTTTAAATGGACGGGAGGTGGTTTGTCCCTTGGTGTTCTTTTTTAAATTTTCTCATTGTAAAATTAGAATATGATCTTAGCTCTATATATAATCATATTTATACTCATACTTACATGAGATTTTTTAATTTCAAATATTTAATCTTTAATGAGTTATTTTAATTGTGATTAACCTTAATGGTATCCCCATAATATAAAATATAGATTAAATGCAGTAATCCCTGTTGAGAACCCCATCCAAATATGGGTCTGCTTTTCAGCCTGTTGACATACCCGTGTATAGGCACCATTTTAACTAAAATGCAGCTGTTATAAAGGCTGTCCACTGCAAATTGTATTATAGATGGGATTGACTGCACCAAGCAGTGATGGCAGGTGATGGGTGATGATCACTCGTCACCTGAGTATTCTTGCAGCCTCAACAAGCAACGAGCAAAAAAGTCCACATTGATGGAAGTGGAGAATGAGTAGAGGCTTAGAGAGGGATCAGGCTCAAGCTAGATCCAGATTGGAGGGTCAATGGATTTCAGAATTATGTCTTCAACTGGATAACCTAAGCTAGTTGTATGCCAGTCCCTTAAGCTCCCGTAAACGTGAGATCTCAGCTGCTCTCCCAGGTAAGCTCCCCATTGTTGCAAAGCAAGTCCACAGTGGCGGGTATTGGTGTTGTGCTTTTTGGCGCTAGCTGAATGAAGTTTGGGTGCTTCAGATGTGGAGTGGCCATGTCATGCTTTTCTAGTCAGAATCGAAAATTCGAAACCTTGATCCAACGTAGGGTAAATTTGAAGCGTACATTCTGTTATTCCACTCATCCCATATGAATCCAACCTTTCTCTATTTTAATTAACTAGTATTGTATCAGCTCCAGTTTTCAGTTTTTCAATATTCTGTATACGTCCAGAATGTTGTTTTACGCATTTGAATTGGTAGTGATATGCTGAAGATTAAAGAATTAATCAAGTGGAAGAGAATCCGATGGGTGCTCAGCGAACTACTACTATTAGCAGGTATCAATAGACCTTATGGAGCATTTTTTATGCATGCATGTGTTCTTCATAAAGAAACGGTTTTCCATAGATATCGTAAAAAATACGATCAAACATGTATCTATGCAACATAAGTGGCATTTGCCGCTTTAGAATTATGCTCGTTCTTTTAGGGTATTTGTGGCGGACTGTACATCTGAAGAAGGGTTGATGCATTGGTAACCCCCAAACGTTAACCCGTCTTACAAGTTAGTATTCTTTGGTAGGCTTTTCTGCGTGTGTGACTTGGACCTTTTTTTATTGCAACCCTTCTGCTGCAGTTTTCTTTTGTGGAGCATCGGAATTACAAGGTTGATTACAGCTGCTATGCATCGCTCTTCTTCTTCGTTGGCATCGGTAACTAAGAGGTTCGCCACTCTCACAACCTTATTAGGAAGATAATTTTAAGGGAACTACAGCTTATTTGGTCATGAAAGTATAGGAAAAATGTGAACTGGCTGTGGGGGGGGACTTCTTTTGGTCTGCGCCATTTCTTATCGGACTGATTCTTCTTCCCTTTGCAGAATGAGCAAGCAGTCTTGGAATTCATTCATCTGTTCGTGGAGACCATGGACAATCATTTTGGGAACGTGGCATGTACGCCTCCTCTCTCCAAATCTCCTATGATTTTGCCGTCCGCCCGGTCATCTTTAATTTTTACTCAGCCCCCCTCCTTCCTTCCAGTGTTAGCTGTACGTCATGTTCTATCTCGAGAAGGCGTACTTAATGCTCGAGGAGATGGTCATGAATAGGTGCGTGGTTGAGACCAACAAGTCGAACATCTTGTCACCAATCCAGCGGATGGACAAGGCTGCCTAGTGAGATGATAATGAGAGAGAGAGAGTTACACAGGACGGGGGCCCAATCCAGACTTAGCCGACCCACCTGAGGACTCAAGCTCGGCCCAGGCAGCATCAGGTCCAGAAGGCCACCATAGATCCCGACGCCAACGCACTCGCCCGGAATCTGAAGATTTCTTTTATTATTAGCCGGTTCTCCCTTAATAAACCTTTTCCTTGCTATGTTTTACCTTGTAACGCCTTTAAGGTCCGTCCCGTCGTCATTAGAGACACATTAGAGTGTGAAGAATAGATTACCTTCATTGAGGTTCCGTCGCCTGATGCTGATCGTGAAGACCCCGTCGCCCCGGTTGGGTTTGTCGTGAGGACCCCGTCGCCCCGGTTGGGTTTGTCGTGAGGACCCCGTCGCCCCGGTTGGGTTGGTCGTGAGGACCCCGTGCTCCAGGTTGGAGCTCTATCGCCACCGTCCGTCGCCGCTGCCGCCGTTTCGCCATCTGCTTACCTCCACCATCGCCTTCCCCTTCCGTCCCCCCCGTTCAGCCTTCCGCCTGCTTCCACCGTCGCCGTCTCCTTTCCGTCACCTCCATTCAGCCTTCTGTCCCCTTCCACCGTTGCCTTCTCCTTCCGTCGCCGCCGTTCAGCCTTCCACCGGCTTCCACCGTTGCCGCCTCCCTCCCGTCGCCGTCGTTCAGCCTTCCGCTTGATTCCACCGTTGCCGTCTCCCTCCGTCGCCGCCATTCAGCCTTCCGTCCGCTTACACCGTCACCGCCGTTCCACATTCCGCCTGTCCTTATCGACGCCATCTCCCTCTGGCTCTGCCGTCTCGCTTGCCACTCGCCCATTACCGGGGTTCCTCCTGTCACCGCCCACCGCGTCCCTTCTGGGTCGGATCCTTACACGCCGGGCAGCTCCGTCGGACCTGAACCGTAGCTCGACTAGCACCAGCCCTCCGGTCTGTCAAGTGACCCGGTCAACAGTCATCGTTGCAGCCTCCATGGCCAGAAGCGATCGAGAAAGTCCACTGTTGGAACCCGAGCTGAGGTGGGGGAGGCGCAAGGAGTCGGACTCCAGCCGGATGCAGATTGGATGGGGATCCGAAGAAAAACGCAAACCACCCACGCTCAACACCATCGATTCCTATCGGACAGTTGGGAGAAAGGAAGCCCTACTAAATGGAGGCCAATGGATTACGGGATTGCGTCTTCAGCAGGATAACGTCAGTGAGTTATCCGCGGCTCCGAAAGCTTTGAATGTGAGATCTCAGCATCTCCCATATGAGCTCCCCGTTGTTGCCAAGGAAGCCAGCGGTGGGGGCTCCTGGTGCAGTGCTTTCTGGAGCTGACATCCGGAACGCAGCCCAGCCTTGGCCAGCAATTTAGACTCTTGGTCCCCAACCTTTTCAGTTGTTTTTCTCTTCGCTTATTGCTTAATGATGGGGAAAACGAAGACCTTGCTGCAGCTTTAGAACCAGTAAGATGAAAACAAAGGAAATAGTTCCCGGTGAAAGAAAAGCATACAGCCACCTTCTGATTTTAGACATCAATGTAAAACAATTCATGTTGGAGAATCTTACGCGTCGCTCTCGCACTCTTTTCATTCTTGCGTAACCAAGCTTAGGATTGTTGTCGACTGAAGTTAGACTGCTTCACATGTGAAGTGCCCACGGTCTGGCTTTTCACCCAAGGATCCGAAATTCAGATTTCGGCTCAGACGTAACGTCAAGTTGGAGCCCACATTCTGTGATTGGACCCCATCTCGTCTGAACCCAACCCTGTCTGTATTCTAGTTAGGTATGATTGCGTTAGATTATGCTTTTAGTTTTTTAATGCCCTGAATACAATTTGAATCTTATTTTACACGTTTCAACAGGTAATGACATGATAAAGATTAAAGAATTAATCAAGTGGAAGAGAATTCGGTGACGAAATGACCTTTCATAATTTCAGTCTTTAGAATTGATGGAATGGACTTTCTCTCGTCAGGTGAGGCGGACCTTTCGACTAGTATTTTATAATTCGAGAAACCCGTCTTATTCATAAAATCATATTCTAATCGACCAAACGTTTATCTGTGTCATTTTAAATAAAATATTTGTTAATTCTCACAAGGAACTCGCACTAATTAGTTCCTTTCATAGAACTGAAACTTCAAGTTCTTATTGAAAAGCTTTTGAATTTATTTTGATATGACTTTTTAAATGAATCCACCTGTGCAAATTTAGTAGACACTTTTTATAATATTACATCTTTCCGTTTTATCTCTTTTGAGCTTTTTGTAGCGCCATTCATAAAATGAAGAAATCAGAAAAAAATAATTTAAATTTGGGGGTAGTAGCCACCAATTCCTCTCACTTGTAGCAGATCGATAAGCCATTTTGACAGAGCATACTACTATTAACAAGGGCTTCCTGTCAAGAATCTGGCTCATGGAAGTGCCACTCACTAATCATCGTCACCATAGCAGTAATGGAACGGAATATAATAGCAGGTTTCAATATACCTCGTAGCGCATTTTGTATGTATACATCTGCTCGTCATAAATAAATAGATTTCCGTAGATTTCGTACAAAATTACGATCGAACATGTATTGGGGCAGGATATGCAACTTTAGAATTATGCTCGTTCGTGTAGGGGCTAGTATTTGCAGCGGACCCTAGATCTGGACCAGGGTTGATGTATGGGTATTCCACACAAACGTTAACCTGTTGTACACGTTAGTATTACACCGAGCCAAAGAACTCTATTGTCTTTATTAGTCTTTTCTTTTGTGAGGGACCAAAGGTGACGGGTTGTTTTGTCTTTAGCGGGTAAAAAGGGAGAGGCCCACATTCGGCATTTATATACCATATAAATAATCTCTCTCCCCCTCCTCCCAATGGGTAATGGTTCTTATCATTTTCCCTCCTCTCTTCTTCTCCCATTATCTTGGAAACATCCATCTTTTATCTCAAGAAATTATCTTTATTGTTCTTATTAGTATTAGAGAAAATTTTCTGCATTAGATATTCTTTGTGCTTTTGTAGAGACTACACCAACATCAAAGAAGATTCAAATGAGGTTGATGAAGGTTTTTGAGTATTTCTGAAGATTTTTTGTTGTAACAAGAAACGTGAAGGTTTTATTTGAATTTTTTGTGAAGAGGTAACAGCATTGAGTATTTTTGAGAATGGCATATGGTAACCACCTCAACATATCTCAACCTCTTATATAGTTTTTTAATTGCGAGAAATATGATTTTTGAAGTATAATATTAAGACATCTTTATTTCAGAAGATTTATGAGATTTAGTTGTGAATGATAATAAGAAAGGAGAGAGTTCTAAACAAGATAACAAATAATTTTAGAAAAACAATGCCAAAGCATTGTTAGTTTTATAAATTATTCACTTCAAACCTAATCAACTACTAATGGCGCAACTGCTAGTGACACAAGTTCTTAAGAAGCATGAAAAAATTTTAAAAATTAATTTCATTTAGACAATAGAATCATGACTATCAAATTTCAAATATTCCACAGAGAATTTAAAATTATTCATATGAAATGTAGTTAATTTCTCCATAATTTATTTTCTCAAATTTCAGTTATTATCAACCAAATGAGAATTTTCGAAGAAGATATTTCAAGAAGGAAAATTATTTAAAAAATTGAGAAATCTTCTATCTAAATTTGATCGTGTTGTTACTACCATAGAAAAATTTAAAGATTTATTTAGTTATAGTCAAAATGAATTGATAAAATATTTATTAGCACATGAACAAATAATGAATAGATATCAAGAAAACTCTCTTGAACAATCATTTTAATCTAATGCTGAAATTTCTAAAAAAGAGAAAAATAATGAAGACACTTCATACAAACAACATGATATTAGAAATAGAGGTCGAGAAATTTATCACAACTGATGTCTTAGGAAAGAAAATGATAGATCTAATTATAGACAACATAGACATGATGATGACAAAGAATGTAATATTTTATGGAAGAATAAAATATTAAAATTCGTCACCATTTTATTCGAGATTTAATTGCTTTAAATTCTATTCAAAATGAAATTTTTGTCCATCATTGGATCAAGATGCAGATGGTTTTAAAAGGTGCTAAGTTATATGAAGTTCATCAAATTTAGAGAAGTTTTTGGTCTAGTATGTTTTTGTATTAATGGGGAGTGTTAATAATTAATATAAAAAAGGATAATTAATATATTTTTTTAATAGACTATTATTTTTGTCTTTATTGAGCCAAAAAATGATGGTTTTTTTGTGTTTAGTGGGTCAAAGGGGGTGGCCCACATTGGGCATTTATGTAGCATATAAATAATCTCTCTCTCTCTCTCTCCTCGAGTTGACGTTCGTGACGCTATCTATTCAATGGTTTTTTTGAGCTAAATTACTCTTTTTTCGTCCTCTCCTCTCCTCCTATTGTCTAAATCCATCTTTCCTCTCCACAAATCGTCCTTATTTTCCTACAGAGGTGGGGGGTGGCAACGATCCAAACTTCGTTTTTTCCTACACAAGACAGTTTCCTCGAGCGCCTCTTCTCAAGTTAGGTCGGGTAGACTCGGTCGATCAGACGATGTTTTCTCTAGCGACTTCCCATTCCAATCTTCTCACGTTGACATCTTCGTCATTCATTATTCCCTCATAAAATAAAATAATAATCTCGAGTCGAACCAACGCGCTTTCATTACCCATTCTTATGTCCATAGATATTCCACCAATGGCTGCTGTCGTTGGGGCCCAGAAAACGGGTGGGTTCTTCACGAGTTTCAACCGTCGTTTAAACGAAACGTGTTATATGACCTCTCAGAACTGCTCGGTAGGAAACAGCTCCATTGATGATAACAGCTTTGCAACATTCATTTCGGCATATCCTGGGAAAGGAGGTGATATAACTTGTTCATGTAGCATGTGGCCCTCAAAAATAAATCTCGTAACTTGTTATATAGGCGTAAAGCCCGCGCTGGCCGGCTCCAGATCACAACGTATGCGCCCCCTAATCGAAGACACGGAAAGCGGGGTTATTCTGGAAAATAATTGTCGGAGAATGTTCTACGTGCCTTCGTCTATGGCTGACTCATTTTAGTCAACGGAAGCCGTCGGGGTCGTTTATTCCGCTTCTTCAATCATCCCGTTCAACTTTGTTGACCCAATGAAGAGGAGACCCTGGGAGCACGCGAGACGACAAAGTCATTTTCGTCGACAACTGCTCACGGATCTATATCTCAGCGGGGATGATCTCCTTCGCGGATGGTCTACTTGCTTTCGCGAAGTCACGGCTCCTGCCGTACAAACGCCTACGATAGAGGAGGGGATCACGTTCGGTGGCAGAAGCAGCTGGTCGCGGCAGCGGCGGCGATGGGGTTGTGGGTTCTGATGATTTGCTTCCTGGCGCTGTCGACCACCGCACAAAGCCAATCTTCAACAGGTATGTTGCCCTCTTCTGTTCCCGATTTTTTCTGGTGCGATTAGTTGAAGAAAAAAGATGGCGCATGCGATTTGTTGAAGAAGCCAAATCTGCATAAGATGCAGGTAGAGGAAGCAACTCTTTACGACTGCCAACGTTTAAACCTTCTCGCTCCAAGAATTTCTTCGTATAAAACGTCGCAAAACCTAGTTAGTTTTTAAGATGCTTCTCAAAGGCCAGATTTCTGTTTCAGGTTTCATCAGCATAGACTGCGGGCTCGACGGGGCCACCAATTACACGGAATCGACTATGAATATCATCTACTCACCGGACGCCCTCTACGTCGACGCCGGGGAGAATAGGAGAGTCTCCCCAGAGACTAACCTTACAGGCGTCTTCGACTACTACAAAACCCTCCGGAGCTTCTCTAATGGAACGCGGAACTGCTACACGTTGCAACCCCTGGTGAAGGGACGCAAGTACCTGGTGAGGGCCGAATTCCAGTACGGAAACTTCGACGGCCGAGATTCACCGCCGACATTCGATGTCTATCTCGGCATCCACTTCTGGTGGACTGTGCCGCCAGATGAGTTCTCCCGACTGGAGATCATCGTCGTTTCCCCCGGCGAGTCCATGCAGGTCTGCCTGGTCAACAAGGGTTTGGGGACGCCGTACATATCGGTTCTGGAGCTGAGACCCCTACTTGATTCGATGTACCCGTTGGTGAATTCTTCTCAGGCTCTTGTTCTCCGGGGTGATAGGACGGACCACGGCAGTACCGGCACTACGAGGTCATGTTCGCTCCGTTATCTCGCTCTCTCTCTCCCGCTTTATATTTATACTCATATACATGAAATAGGTACATTTAACATGTTTATCCCTTGCATTGGATTTCCGGTGTGGAGATGGCGGAGAAATTGAATACGCTTTATATTGATTGACAGGTATCCCGAAGACCCTTATGATCGTATCTGGTTCTCCCCTGGGGAAACCGAAGATTGGCTGCCGATGAGCACGGACAAGACAGTTGAAAGCGGGAGCAGAAATTTCATGGTGCCAGCAAGCGTTCTGAGCACGGCAGTGACGACCCCGAATATCTCCGAGAGCTTAAACTTCACCGTGACGGGCCTCCTAGGGGAGGAGATTTACGTGTTTATGTACTTCGCAGAGCTTCAGCAACTTGGTATGAATGAGACGAGAGAGTTCAACGTCTATGCAAACAGTACCCTGTGGTTCAGACAGTATCGACCGGATTACTTGTCAGGAGGAGCTATATATACCAGTAGGCCAGGAACCGGTGGGACGACCACCTACTCGCTCAAAGCCACAAGGAATTCTACCCTGCCTCCCTTCATCAACGCCTTCGAGGCCCATATCTTGGTACAACTAAGCACGTTACCTACGCACCAGAATGACAGTGAGTACCTCTACGTTCTCGATGTCGTTGCAGTTTACCTTATTTTGCCTCGCTGTCGAGTTCGAGGATAGAGACGATGCATCGTACACACTCCATGATCATCCTTATCTCTGATGAGAATCGGTAAACGAAAATCACATAAGGGGTTTAAAAATAAAAACTGCTCAAGAACAGTGTGGTGGATTTACCTGAGTAAAAAATCTCAACTCAGTTCTTAGTTTTCGCATAAGCTAGTCTGGTAATTATGAAGTTGAGTTTAATTTTCACTCAAATGCTTTCTTTAATTCGTTTATGCTGTCATTATATGCTTTCTCTCTCATTAATAATTTTTTATAATGACAGCTGATGCTGTCCTGAAGATAAAAAACTTTTATAAGGTGAAGAACTGGGAAGGTGATCCATGTGTCCCCAAGGATTTGGCTTGGGCTGGCCTAGGTTGCAGTTACGATGGTTCTCTAAACCCAAGGATTGTATCTTTGTAAGTTATTCCTGTAATAATTTATGCTGAAATAACATGTCTTGGCTTAGCTTATGGTACCAAGAATAGTAACTTTGTTGATCATGTTTTGCAGAAATTTGTCTCATGCTGGACTTAGCGGTGGAATTTCACCATTTATAGCTAACCTAACTGCTCTAGTGACTCTGTAAGTTTCTTTCTCGTAGATGATATTAAAGTAGAATCCACAGGTAGTTCCAAAAGAAATTTCGATTTTATTATTTCTCTGTAAAAAAAAGTTTAGATCTGTGCGTTGGATAAAACGTGTCCAAAATGCACCAAATATATGGCGTAGTAGCCTGAAGACAGTTCTAATCACATAAGTGAAAGGATTTTCCTAGATGAAATGTTTAATACTGTTTCAGGCAAAACTTTTTTTTTCTAATATCCAGTTGATTTAAATTCATAATAGGAAGAAAACTAATTGATATAGTTCGCCTATATGAATATAGAACTATAAATCCTTTTTAAAGAAAATGATAATGACTATAAATATTAATCATAATGTAAATAATTAAAAATACTCATTATACAAACTATGAAATCCGTTGGAAAAAGAAAAGTGAGAGAACAATGGACCATATTATTGAAAATTTACGACATGTGAAAATAGTTTTAAGCTGATGATATCTCGTGATTTTATTTCAGGGACTTATCACACAACAATTTGATAGGTGAAATTCCTCGTGATCTGGTAGAACTGTCACAGCTCAAAGTACTGTAAGTCTCAAAAATCTTGTACTTATTTTGATTTCAGTAAAATTTTGATTATATTCTAATTTTTTTCTTACTTATTTCAGGCAACTGGAAAATAACGATTTAAGTGGATATGTACCATATATTCTTCTGGAGAAGTCAGCAAATAAGACGCTGTCTTTAAGGTATTCATGAAAATAACTACCGTTAATACACAATTTTTTTGCCATACTAGCTTGAAGGTGATGAAATTACCAATCCATCACAAACGGAAGATCATGGAGAAATTTTATGAATGGATACAGTTTTTCTATATTTTCTGTGGTCGATTATCATGTTAAACATTGTGTGCTTGACTGAGGTTCAGTTCCCACGGCATAAAGAAGGAATCAGCATAATTTTTGAAAATTTACCAATCATGATTAGCTTTTGATAATCAAGTTAAACAGACGATAATATTTTACTCTCTGATAACTGGCTTGTTAAACTAGGAGGATGAAGAACGGTTTGAAATGGCTAAATAGCTGGCCATTGTTGACCGACAATTAATACATTCTAGAGTTTAATATTTTCAGAATATTTTGAGCATGATCTGGGAGAAAGTATCTTTTCCTCATACCTAAGACGCTGGTGATTGATCCTTATCCTTGAAACTTTCAGCTTAGATGGCAACACAAATCTGTGCCCTGGAACTGATTCTTGCGGAGTAAAGGGGAGGAAAAAAAGGGTTATCGTTCCTATTGCAATTTCTATAGGAGGAATCCTTGCTCTGCTCTCCCTGATCCTTATAATTATGTGGAGAGTCAGAATGAGAAAGCAAAAAGATGTTCAAAGTACGCCAAAATGAGTATAAACTTTATTTTTTTACATTCCTTTAGCTTATGGGGTAATAAACCCGTCAGGTAGGACCTTCTTCGTCTCATTCTGACACATTTCTGTGTTTAACATCAGATATCTCAAGCAAGAAAATAGAATCGTCAAACAACGAACAGAAAAATTTACATTCAGTTAGCAGCCAATTCACATTTGCAGAAATAGTAAATATTACGAAGAACTTTCAGCAGCAGATTGGAAAAGGAGGTTTTGGGATAGTTTATCATGGCCGCTTAAAAACTGGAATCGAGGTTGCAGTAAAGATGCTTTCTAAAACATCTTCCCAAGGTGCTAAAGAGTTTGAATCTGAGGCAAGTTATAATAAATTAAATTAATGAATTAGAATGTTATTAGTTAATATTTCTTTGTCTTCAAATAATTTTTACCTCTAATCAAACTTTCTTCGAATTCAGGCTCAGATATTGACAAGGGTCCATCACAGAAACTTGGTGTCTTTCTTAGGCTATTGTAATGACCCAAACAATCTTTCCCTAGTGTACGAGTTTATGACTCAAGGAACTCTTGCAAAGCACTTATCAGGTGTCTCTCTCTTTCACCAGCACCGAACTGTTATAATCTATCACTCTTTTCATTTTTATACCATTTATGTTTAGCTTACGAGTTAATATATATATGTTACCTCTATGCAAATATAGATAACCGCAGCAATGATTTAAGTTGGAGTATTCGACTCAAAATAGCGCTTGATGTTGCACAAGGTATGCTGTCGAAGTCTATCCAATTTACTTCACTATGTTTCAATTTTCGAATCCTTGAAGTAACACATTGTTTCATGAAAATTTCAACGACAGGACTTGACTATTTGCACAGTTTTTGCAAGCCACCCATAATTCATAGAGATGTGAAGACGACAAACATTTTACTAAATCAAAGTCTTGAAGCAAAATTAGCTGATTTCGGACTGTCCAGGCTTTTCCATGATGATGCCTCAGCTTGCATTTCCACGGCCATTGTTGGCACTCCGGGATACCTTGATCCTGAGTAAGCTTTTGATGGATTTATGACTTCACAATGCTTTCCATCATGGTTTATATAGTCGCATCTATTGCTGCCTAGAATCTAAGAAACTTATTTGTTTCTGGGGAATATTTCATTACAGGTATTATCAAACATCAAATTTGAACGCGAAGAGTGATATTTATAGCTTTGGAGTTGTTCTTTTTGAGCTTATAACAGGGAAACCGCCAATTATAAATAGCACAGAGAATATTTCAATTGTCCCCTGGGTGCAGTCAAGAATCAACAGAGGTGATATAACTATGATAGTGGATGAAAGATTTGAGGGAAAATATAACATTAATTCTATGTGGAAAGCAATTGAAATTGCAGTGTCGTGTACAGCTCCTTACTCAATCCAAAGACCAACCATGAGTAATGTGGTGATGGAATTGAAGGAGTGTCTGACTTCTGAGACTTCACAAGACATTCCCAGAAATTTTAAAATTCAAGAGGAAAGTTCAGTTGATATTGTTCCTCTTTTCCTTGATACAGCCACAGGGCCATTGGCACGATAATGTGTACATATTTTCCCTTCGTGACAGATTTCAAATATTGTAATTTGAAAATTATTTGGGGTATAAAAGAAAAGATGTTACATATTCTCCATCTTGTTTGTTATCGAAAACGTTTACCCTTGACTTTTTAAAATTTATTGTTCCATGAACATAAATCAATAGTGCGAGAATGATGGCGATATACAATCTCTTAGTTGCTGGTTTATTAGTTAGTTAGTACACATTGCGTAAAACCAGATGGTTTATATTAAGGTTTTGCGTAAGGTAGTATACAAGTATGAACATAGCATCCAGCCCATACCTTATGCATTTAGTTGGGTCTACCTTTCCTAGAGTTTATGATCTCCAATAAATCATGTTATTCAAAAGAACCGCTAAGTTATTTGCTTGTTACATGAATCAGATTTAATTACACAACACGCATTAACCGCCTATGGATAAATTGTTAACTTTATTGGGAAATGTCTTCTACGAATTTGATAGGAACATTAATTTCCGTTATCAAGTTATTTTTTAAAAGGCATACAAAACCTTGAAACAATTTGGGCTTTTGTCATCCGTATATGTTTTAAAACTTCACACAACGAATTGCTTAAATTACCTGGCATGCTTAATTTTTGTATATTACACAACGAATTAAAATGCATGATAATTCAAAGCGACCCGTAGACTATTTCGCAAGACAATGCAACAGCAAGCCCTCAGTACAAACGGGTCTAATTTATGTACGGATCCAAACGGGAAAATTTTGTTAATATAAGCGATTTTTTATTATGGCAGTTAATTTATATTTAAATGTATGAAAATAACTCTTCCTGGAAACCTAACTTGGAAATTTAGGATAATCGTTTACAATGTTTCCTAGAAGTTAGGACATTCAACTTTACAAAAAGTGTAGCAGCTCTGACAAGGGCCATTTACGCACTTAAATAAACCCTTAAAGTTTTATTTCTTGCCCAGACTAGATGAGAAATGTTGGCAGATAAATACAACTTGAGTGTTGTCAAAAAACTATTCATTTAAGTAAAAAAGTATCTATATTTGGCTCAAAGAACCCATAATCACTAAATTATTGTTTTTTAAGAAAACATTTGACGTAGTAGAAACATATGGAGGACCGGATTTAGTTTATCGATCAAGACTGACTAAGGGTATCATCGATTCAGACTTGTCCTTGGAAATGCCACGCCAAATATTATGTGGAGGCTTAAGTTAAAATAACGTGGGTTCTCCTGGTTCCTTCTCTGAAGCAACTTTCAAGTCGCCAGGATCATTGGCAAGCACTCTGGTGGATCCAAGAACCGATCATGGACTGCTCAACTACTCACCCCTATAATCAGCTTCCTGCTTCACGTTGAGGAAAGACACCCAATTCCGCTTCATCCTGGCAATCATGCTCTTCGTGTAGCGACGTTCTGGATAATTTTATGAATTTTCTCTTAATCTAGTAGGTTGTTCACGCATGGGACAAGTACATGAATCCGTTGATAATAAATTAGTTGACGTTAGATTATTTTCATCTCTTGTTCATGAAAACGTTAAGCTTATATTGTCCATAATTCGTTGAAGTTCACGGTATTACGATTGGTCTTCCAAAAGAGAAAAGATCAAAACGTCCAAATACCGATCTTTTAGAAGAAACCTTAATGATAAACGACTCTTTTTCGCAAAGTGATTTATGTAGCCCAAACATGTTGGCGAGCAAGTTTGACGAGACAGACGGAAGGTGAACATTGCGATCATGCAATGAAACAGTGGTTTCTCAAAATATATCTTCCGATCACCAGCCGGCAGAGGCTAGCTGCAACGAATGCAGTGCCTTTTGGATTTTAGCTGAACTTTCCTTCATAATGGTTGAGAATCTTGTAGCATGGGGGGGATGAAAATTCAGGTGTGGACGCCTTGATTGGGGTAGAAAAGAAGCGGGCTGGGGATTCGTGGTTGCCAGGGTGGTGGGAGTGTTGGCGATGGCTGTCGCCTTTAATGTAGTGCTGCCATGGTAGGGGAAGATATTATTATACAGCGGTATCGCAGAGAAAGAGCCTACTTCCAAAATGAACCCCTTCAAGGCTCTGATTTGGTAGATTTAGACATGAATGTCAATATCTACAGCCGAAAGTTGTGTCAGAGCCATTCGAACCAAAATATGATGGATCCTAAATATGGAGAATTATTAAATGTGTACGCAATAACTCATCTTCGCCATTCGTGATTTTATGCTAATGTTAAGTCTCATGGTCCACGATACCCCCTGTCGTAAATCATTCTCCCCCGTACACACCTACTATGGTTTCAGTCTGTGCCACCTACATGTATGCCATTGTGATGGTCATCCCCATGCTTGGTGCCTGCATATGTCCTTCCTCCTATTCCTGCATGCCATTTCTGAGTATATCGTTGAGCTGAAGAGTGGAAGACATTTGTAGTCTTGTCACAATAGTTTTTGGCTCTGTTATGAACCAAGGCTTCGTCCTCTTACAAAGATAACAACATGTAATTGGGGGATACATCCACATTTGCACCTAGGACGACCGCAAAATCAGTCATTTTGGTCACAATCTCCATCGCATCCTTTCAATTTCTAATTTTTCAATGAAACTCCACGAGTGACACTTGGAAGGGTACTTGATGCTAAGTTGAAAGTTGGCAACGTTACTTTGGGTGTCTACTCATCACAACATCACACCCTATTGAGATGCTTCTTTCTCAGAGAAAGACTATTAGTCATCACCTTTGTTTGAAGACCATTGATGCATGCATTGATGTAAATGAACCGTGGCTCATTTGTCTTTCTTAGCTCTCGTTGTCAATACATGGCCCACAATAGTTGAAGAGGAGTCAACATGAGATTAATTCCTATGGATGCTTCTTCAGTCGTCGACGCATTTAATTCTCCCCTATGTTTACAAGCTGGGAAATCTTTAGCCCAGTGTCATCCTTGGCATACAAAAAATCCACTGTACACATTGTATCTTCGAACTTAGGGCCTCCCGTGCAACACCCTGGTTGTCTTCCAATCGTTCATGCAGCAATTAGAAGCACTCCTTTATGGCCTTAAACGACTTGAAGAACATAATCACTTACTCCTCTATAGCCATGAATTAATTCGAGGGCATGAATATTCACTCCTCCAGTCAAACAATCCTCTAATCATGAGTTCCACTTTCTTCTGCGATTATCAAAATCCTTGGAGTTTTGACACCAATTGTCACAAGATTAGAGATCTCATATCAACCTTGGACGCCTTCACCAATACTCAAGAAGCTCCTCTTCATGCCTAGAAGATTCTTACTCACTCAAGAGAGGTATTCCACTTCTCAAGTCGGAATACAAGAGCGAGTAGAGGATGGCCCGCCCCAATAGGCCTAATTCGTCCACTATTTATAGAGAAGAGCGCCCCCCCCCCACAGTTTTCCTTATTTTACCCCTCCATACCACACACCCTGCCTCCAATAGTTTCTTTAGGTGCTCCCGAAGGTCCTCAAGATATGCCAGACATCTTATAGGATGCGAGGATAGGAGGTCGCGCTGGGAAGTGACTCAATCTTGTGATCCACTTCTCTTCAGGGTGATAGGCATCCTGAGAGAGACTCGAGCATCACATTTTTGAACTCATGCAAAACACTCGCAATTTCCTAAAGTAGATACTGCAAATCACCTCCACTACACTTATAGAGCCGTTGTAGGTTGCCTGTGTCTGCTGAATGTTTTGGGTGCTTGCCAACTATTGACACACCTATCGCACATGACTCCATTGTGCATGCCTCTACTATGGTTTCGGTCAATGCCATGCCAACCACAGTGATCGTTGCTCCCGTGCCTGGTGCCTACACAGGTCCTTCTTCCTACTCTTGTAGGATCATAGGAAAGTGTCATCACCATATCTTAGTTCATCCTTGAGGTGAAGGCTCACAATGGTCATTGGTTCCATCACGAACCTGGGCTTCATCCTCTTGCAAGGAGAACACCTTCCATTTGAGAAAGTATCCAGCGAGACTTCACATGTGACACCAGTTAAAGTACTTGTCGCCAAGTTGGACTTAACTTGGGTGTCTGCTCTTGACAGCATCACCCCCAACAAGGACGCTTCTTTCTTTATGAGAGAGTCTTGGGTCGTGTTGCTGTCAATGATCATCATTGTCAGAAGACCATTGATGCCTGCCTCGATGGCCTTGACTGTCTTCTGATCATTCTTCAAATGTTCGTAAGCAACCCTCACTTAAACGGATTGGAGAGCATGGTCACCTGCACCTCCATAGCCTAGAACAAGTTGGAGAGCATGGTCATTTACTCCTCCAATCAAGCAATCCTCTGACCATGAGTTCCACTCTCTATTGCCTTCTCACAACCTTTCGAGCTCTATTAGAAATTGTCACAAGATTAGAGAACTTTCCTTGATTCAAGCAACATGTGTCTACCTTGTACGACTTAAACAGTAGTAAATAGCTAGAAATATAAATGAAATCGATTAATTTAAAATTTAGTTTCATAGTCAACACCCAATTTCTTATTATAAACTATCTAGGGCAACCCTCGCTTGATCTAATCAACGCCCATACACCCTCTCTTCATGCCTAGAAGACTTGAGAAGTATTCCATTTCTCAGGTAGAAATACAAGAGCAAGTATTTCCACTTTTTATAGTGAAGACCTCACCCCCCACCCCCCCCAACCAAGCTTTCCTCATTTTATCCCCCACATCTTGCATGCTCCTCACAAAGTCTAGCTTCCCAGGTACTCACTACCTTAAGACGAAAGAGAGAATGATAAAAGGGATGAAGCAATACTCAAGTCAGCCAATAACGACATCAGTTAATGCTATCCAGTCTTATTCTCTCTCTCTCTCAGATCTTTCAGGCTGTCTCTATCCAGTCTTATTCTCTCTCACTCTCCAAATTTCGACTTGCTCCGAAACAAGTCAAGATTTCTGTCTTGCTCGCACGCAAACTATTTACATAGATCTTCCTCATCTCTGATATAGTTCTCTCTCCGATCTCTCTC